CATAATTATAATATATATATATATATATATATATATATATATGAATAAAATTCCTTGAAAACACAAGTGTCTGTGCCTGATGTTTTATATATAGTCGTTGTCTTAAACTTCATATCGTTAATTTTAAAAGCTTTTCCGTAGGATTCATATTCACTAACTTTGAAACATGAAAGTTATGGTAACTTAAATGTATTTAAACTATTATATTTATAAAAATAAATCAGATTGTGACACGTATTCAATATATATTTTGACTTAAATGTACACGTGTCATAATCTAATTTATTTTTATAAATTCAATAATTTAAATGTATTAAGTTATCATAACTTTCTTTTCATAAAGTCAGAAAATCCATTTCCTTTTCGGTAATGTTGACTACCTCTTTCCTACGAAAAGAAAAGGAAGGAGGAGAGGATAGCAAAGCAAAGAAATAGGCAAAGTACAAAACTATGCTGGTTTGACTGCAAAGAAATGGACGTGAGAATAAATAAAAAAGGTATGTTTGCAAAATATGAAGAAATGAATAGTGTGTGAAAATAAAAAGTAATTGACTGAATTTTATTTTATTTTATTTTATTGTAATGGATTGTTACATTTGCGATTTTTATTTTTTTAATTATTGAAAACGTGTACTATTAGTTTTATCGATTTATATTTTGATTTAACTGATTCAATAAAATAAATTTCTTTTTTTTTTGTTGATAATTGATTCAAAATTTCAAACAATTATTTAATTTAAAATTAAATTTAAATATTTTTCTTTTTCTTTTATTTCTTTTTTCGGTAATTCTTTTCTATCAAACATTTTTATTTCTATATATATTTTTTCTTTTCTATTTCTGTTTTTTCTTCAATTTTTTTATTATATTTTTACTTTTTCTAACCAAACACATCTTAAGTTGAAACGAAGTCGTCTTATTAACTTTGTAAATCACATGACAGAAATATTTAAATTTGACATAATTTTTTAAAATTTTATAAATACAATTTTAAATTTTTAATCGCTTAAAAGTTTAACCCTAAATTCTTCATACAATTCTATATATTTCAATAAAATAAAAATATCCATAAGTCTATAAAGAAGTGCATTATAAAAATTATGAATAAAGAAAAGAGAAAAGCAAACGGACTAAGGAAGTGTGTACTTAGATTTCAACAAGATCACAGGAACACACACAACACAGACATATTGACCAGTGCACATTTTCTCGTTAATTTCTTCGATTCCTAGTTTCGTTAATACTATTACTAGTGACATGCCTTGTCCGTCAAAAGTCAAAAGCCTTGTTGGAATAAACTTGCAGACCAAATCTCCTCCACAATTTTCTTTTCTTTTTCTCTACCCAACAAACTTCATTTCATCTTTCTCTTCACAATTTTCAAATTCTTATCATCCAATTTTCTCTTTCTTCACAAAATTAGCCCCCACTCTCTCAATTTCTTACATCTTTGTCTCAGCTTTCATTTGGTTGGTCCTTTCTTATGGCTTGTACTTTGCAGTGATTTTTATCTGAATTATGTGCTAAATCTATGAACTGAATGTGATTTTCAGTGTCTTTTTTTTTCTTCCTAAAAAAGAAACAGAAAATTTGCTTTTAGTCAGTTACAGTGATTCTTAATTGGGAGGGTAGGCGTTTGTGTGAGGGTCAATTGGGTGAGTTCTTCATTTCTTGTGACAATTTTGTTTTAGTTTTGGAGTTTGGAGATTGTGTTTGGTGTTGGTGGATTATTATTTGATTATAAATCCTCTTTCTTCCATTTTTGTTGGGACTAGTTTCGGTTACTTTGTGTTTTTCTTGATAATGGAAAGGGGCATGAAAAGTTAAGGGGAGAAGAACACTAGAAAGAGTTCTTTCAAATTATCCATCCATTCCTTCATTCATCTCTACTTGATAACTTTCATTTTCAGGCTTCAAACTTTTTAGGTTTTAACCACTTATTGTCCTTGAATTCTTGTTCCTATGAGGAAAAAATGGTGTATTCTTTCATTTTTACCAGCTTTCTTTCAATTTTTCATGCTACAAGGTTAGCTTTTGCAACCATCAATTCTTTGCAAGCTGAACCCATCAATCCTTTCTTTCTATGTACACATGACTTTACACTGATTTTAAATTAGGGGGTGAATTTTGGTGTGGATTTCTCCTTGCTCTTTAATTTTTGCTGATATGGAGGAACATAAATCTGTTATCTCCACCTGGGAACAAGATCAACATGTGGTTGCTGCTGCTCAGCACATTTTGAAGGCACTAGCAACAAGTAAGAGTGTATCTGATGACTTGAGAAAAACCCTTTTGGATCTTGAGACCCAGTTGTCTGCAATTTCCACAGTCAATGAGGAAACAGGAAGTGGCATCAAGCAATTAGAGAGACAGCTTAAGTGTGCTGAAGACAAGATAATGAGGTTGGAGGCAAACCCTTCTTCCATGACATGGGACTCTAGCCCCAATGAGTCTTCTGAGTGTTTGAAAGTTGTTGGTGAAATCCAAGCACTGACTCAGAGTTTGGAAAGCTTTTCTGTGGATGAAAACTGGAAGCAGAAGGAACTTCTTGAGAGGGCTAATTCAATTCTGCAGGTTGCTATGTCAAGGCTTGAGCAAGAGTTGGTCCACATTCTTGGTCAACATAAGCAATACTTTGAGCCTGAGTACATGTCTTTCCATTCTAATAGAGTGGATATGGTGTATGATGAATTGTTTCAATCAGTTGAGGATGAACCAATCGATGAGACCCCGCAGAGTAGCAGCCAATCCGAGGCCAGCACCATTGATCTGGTGAATCCAGCAGTGATTCAAAATCTCAAGAGCATTGCAAATGCCATGTTTGGCTCAAAATACCATCAGGAATTCTGTCAGGTGTTCGTTACTTCCAGGAGGGATGCTTTGGCTGAGTATTTTGTCATTCTTGAGATGGAAAAATTGTGCATTGAGGATGTGCTGAAATTGGATTGGCATTGCCTGAACCGTGAGATGAAGAAATGGATTCGAGCCATGAAGATCATTGTTCGTGTGTATCTTGTCAGTGAAAAGCGATTATGTAAGCAAATCCTTGGAGACTTTGGATCCTTTTACCAATGTTGCTTTTCTGAAATTTCTCAGAGTTTTATGCTACACCTGTTGAATTTTGGTGAGGCAGTGGCAATGGGAACACACACACCAGAAAAATTGTTTCGTTTACTTGACATGTATGAGGTTTTGGAGCTTCTTGCCGTGGATGTAGACATTTTGTTCTTTGAAGAAATTGGTTCTTTTGTTAGGGGAGAGTTTCACAAGCTTCTAAGGAGATTGGGTGAAACTGTCAAGTCTACATTTCTGGCATTCAGAAGTGCTGTTGCAACTAACCCTTCAAAGACCCCTTTGCCTCAAGGGGGAGTTCACCATGCTACCAAGTATGTCATGAATTACATCATGACACTAGCTGAATATGGTGACACCCTTAATCTCCTTCTTGTTGATGAAAGTTCAACCGATCCTGCAGGCAACAAACATGACACCCCATCTCTCTCATTGTGTCCAATGGCTTGCCAATTTCGCTCAATCACCACAGCTCTAGAATCCAACTTGGTCAACAAGTCCAAGTTATACAAAGATGTGGCTTTGCAACACTTTTTCATGATGAACAACATTTATTACATGGTGCAAAAGGTCAAGTGCTCTGACCTGAGCCACTTCTTTGGAGACTGCTGGCTCCGCCAGCACACCGCCAAGTATCAGCGCCAGGCAAGGTGCTATGAAGGGGTCACTTGGGGCTCAGTACTTTCCATGCTCATGCATGATGGTGTGTCAAGTTGTGCTTCTCAGAGAACCTTGAAGAAAAGGTGCAAAGGGTTCAACACTGCCTTTGCTGAAGTATACAAGACCCAAACAGGGTGGTGCATAGCAGAACCTCAACTTCGTGAGGATCTACAAATTTCAGTGTCTCAGATGGTGGTTCCTGCATACAGCACATACATTGGGAGAAACTCATCCAACATTGCTGACAAGTATATCAAGTACACTGTTGATGATCTACAAAGTTATATTTTGGACCTCTTCCAAGGGTCACCAAAATCTTTGCACTATTCTCATCACAGAAAGTGAAGGGTCTTGAGTTTCATTTTTCAGAGATCATTGATTCATTGTATATATTGCGTGTAATTTGGCAAAATGACATCACAGTCTTAGTTTAGCTTAGGGAGGCAGTTACGTTTGTTTTCCATTGACATCAAATAAATTAATATGGTCTTACCTGTTGATAGTGGTGCTCACATATGCATTATATATGATAAATATTATATATATATATATATATATAATTCATAATAAATATGTATTTTTAATATTTAAATTAGATTAATATTGTACCGGGAGGACCCTATCGGTCACGTTGACCAACACGTGCCGTTCTATCAGACACTCATGCGAACTGGACCATACCCAAGGCTGACGTTAGCATCGGCTCGGCTTATAGCCGAAGGCTGAGATTAGTCAACTGGCACATGTCGGCTTGGCTGAAGGCCGATGCAAACAGCATGATGTATCCCCGCATACTATGTATCGACTCGGCCCAATGCCGATCCGATAGGATTACCAAGTAAACGTTTACCGGCCCGGTCAACAGCCGAAGACATGCAACCCTCCAAGCATTAGCTTGTCGGCTCGGCAACGTGCCGATAGGTTAAACAGGTTATAGTACAAATCACAGTTAACAAGGACAAGTGCATAATTAAGACATGGTTAGCTGATTAGCATCGTATTACCTAATTTGGTAAAGATTAGGATAGGCCCACCACATTCAGGCCCATGTCAGGTATTATAAATAGGTCACACGTAACGAGGTACGTCCCTGTTCATTAATTACCCTAGAATATCGTGCTTGTCCTAACTTGAGCGTCAGAGTACCTTTTGCAGATACCTCCCCCCTCTAAAGAGTCCGTTTGAAGCATCCGTTCAGCCCTTCTCACTAAGAAGACTACGGGTGTACCCTCAGGCAGGTACATTTTGGCGCCCACCGTGGGGCCGAACCGATAGCTGTGAAGACTTTTTGAAGACATTATGGCAAAGACAAGAAGAAACAACGTTGAAGACCACCAGTCTGAAGATGAGCACCAGTCCGGGGCGGACAATGCCAAGACAGTAGAGGAGACAAACTTGACTGATATGGTACGCCAAATGAAGGAAGAAATGGCCGCCATGAAACAGCAGCGGGAAAGAGATGCCACCGAGATGGCCGTGTTGCGAGCAGAGAATGCTGCCCTCAAGAACTAGTACCGGGATCCCACATGGAAACCCTCTGAGACAACCCAGGGGTCGATCCACTCGCACGGCCATCACACCTTTATCCCACACACTTCTGTTGCTGCCCCAGTCGTCCATGCTTCGGTTAGCCGGCCGATACAATCGACGCCGGCCGGAGCACACCGACACCCATTTACCCCAAACATCATGCAGTCTGCACTTCTTGACCATTGGAAGTCCTTGCCTCTAGACAAGTATGATGGTACCACCGACCCAGATGAGCACGTCGACGTGTTCTTAACTCAAGTTACTCTAAGCACTACTGATGACGCCGCCTTGTGCCGAATCTTCCCAACATCATTAAAAGGGCGAGCACTGAGTTGGTTTACTTGGCTTCCTGCTAATTCTGTTGACTCGTTCAACACATTAGCCTCCCAGTTCACCATTCAGTTCGCTACAAGCCGGCCTCACCAGTTGACCTCTTTGGCACTAGTTAGCATCCGTCAGGAGAAAAAGGAGTCCCTTCGGGCGTTCATGAGCCGATTCAACAAGGCGGCGCTTGAAATCCGAGACCTGAACCCTGCTGTAGCTCTGCACCACCTTACCACCGCCTTGAAACCAGGGCCTTTCGCCAACAGCATTTGTAAGAAACCGCCTACTAACATGGATGATTTGCGTCGGCGAGCTGACAAATACATGCAGATGGAAGAATTGGCTGAGTTCCGGAACCAAGCCCGGGCGGAGGTGTCGGCAAAACTTGACAAACCGGCCGAGACTAATTTTCGGAGTCGTCCGAAAGAGCTGATTCCTCGCGAGAAGCCTCCTCGCATGCCGAGATACTCACAATACACACCACTTAATACAAACAGATCGGCCGTCCTAGAGCAAGCACTTGCCTCAGAAGTGCTAGCAGTCCCAAAACGAGCTTGGACCCCTCCCAGGGCTGATACAACAAAGTCTTGCAGGTACCACCGTAATCGGGGGCATTCCACAGAGGAATGCGCAGCTTTGAAAGACAAAATTGAAGACTTAATCAAGCAGGGGCAACTGCAAGGCTTCATAGACCGTTCGACCTCATCCCGACACGCCGACCGGTCTCGGCGGCAAGATCAGCCCGAGCAGAGGAGAACAGGAACGCACTCATACTGGGAACGTAGTCGGTCGAGAGATAGGCGAGAGGAAGAGCCTTCGGCGCAACCTAGGCGGGTCATCAACACCATAGCCGGTGGATTCACTGGCGGGGGGTCATCCTCATCGGCCCAACGAAGACACCTACGAGCCGTTCGGCACGTGCATGCAGTAGAAACAGCTCGTCGCCGCCTTCCTACCATCACTTTCACTGAGGCCGACTTCAAAGGCATCGACCCGGATCAAGATGATCCGATGGTAATCAGTGTTGAAATTCACAACTGTATTGTACGTAAAACATTGGTTGATCAGGGAAGTTCAGACGACATCCTGTACTGGAACACGTTCAAGCAGTTGGGTATTCCAGAATCCGAGCTAATTCCTTATGATGAACCTCTGGTTGGGTTCTCAGGCGAACGAGTCAAGACAAAGGGATATATCAAGTTGTCAACCCGGTTTGGGTTTGAAGGAGCCGAATATCGTGACATCTCGGTCAAATATGTGGTAGTTCATGCCAGCACATCTTATAATATTCTACTCGGCCGGCCGTCCCTGAATCGGCTTGGGGCGGTTGTATCCACCCCTCATTTAGCCATGAAGTTCCCGGCCGAGTCAGGGCGAGTCATCACGGTCCATGCTGATCAGAAGACTGCGCGAGAGTGCTACTTTGCCAGCTTGCGATTACCAAGAGTGAAGGACGAAGCGCCTAAGGAGCCGAGAGGCGTTCACTCGGTGTCACAGCAATCGGCCATGGACCTCGATCCCCGGATCGATCAAGAAGAGAGGGTAGAACCTATTGAAGATAAGCAATCGATTCAAGTTGGAGCTTCGGACTCCCAGCTTACTTACCTAGGGACCGTCCTCTCTGAACAAGAAAAGAGTGCTATCGGACAAGTAATTCTTGACAACAAAGACTTGTTTGCATGGCATCCCTCCGACATGCCTGGCATTGACCCGGATTTCCTTTGCCACAAGCTTTCAATCAGCAAAGAGGCAAAGCCGATTGCACAGCGGCGTCGAAAGGCCGGAGAAGAGAGGAAAGCCGCAATCGAAGTTGAAGTATCAAAACTTCTAGATGCTCAGTTTATCCGAGAAGTGCACTATACGACATGGCTGGCCAACGTTGTCATGGTTCGGAAACCGAATGGAAAGTGGCGTATGTGTACTGATTACACAAACTTGAACAAAGCCTGTCCGAAAGACGCCTACCCATTGCCGAATATTGACCGACTCGTTGATGGAGCATCGGGTCACAAATTCTTGTCTTTCTTGGATGCATACTCGAGATACAACCAGATCAGTATGCATCCCCAAGATGAAGAAAAGACGACATTCATTACTGAAACGGCCAACTACTGCTATCGGGTCATGCCGTTTGGGTTGAAAAATGCCGGAGCCACGTATCAGCGTTTGATGAATAAAATTTTTCATCAACAGATTGGTCGAAGTATGGAAGTGTATGTTGACGACATGGTCGTCAAAACAAGCGACATTTCCACGCACGTGCGTGACCTGGCTAATGTCTTCCAAGCGCTTCGGCAACATCAGATGACACTTAATCCCGAAAAATGCGTGTTCGGGGTCTCAGGTGGAAAATTTCTGGGGTTCATGTTGTCCAACCGAGGCATTGAAGCAAACCCCGACAAATGCCAAACCATTCTGGATATGAAAAGTCCAGGTACTCTGAAAGAGGTTCAGAAGTTGGCAGGCCGACTCACCTCACTCTCTCGGTTCCTTCCTTGCCTAGCCGAGATAGCTAAACCTATCCTTCTCTTACTGAAGAAGACGAAGCGGTTCAAATGGACCTCGGAGTGTGAAGCATCATTCCAACAATTCAAGGAACGTCTTAGTACACCTCCGATCCTTTCTAAACCAGTTGCCAACCTCGACATGATTGTGTATTTAGCTGTCTCCGGCACTTCAATCAGTGCCGTCCTGATTCAAGAGAAGCAAGATGAACAACAACTGGTGTATTTCATCAGTCGGACACTACAGGATGCCGAATGACGCTACCAGTTGATTGAAAAAGTAGCCTTAGGGCTCATCTACACCGCCCGCCGGCTCAGGCAGTACTTATAGAGTCACAAGATAGTTGTCCGAAAGCCAAGGTCCTGCGTGCCGGATACTATTGGCCAACTTTGAAAGGAGATTGTGCTGAGTTTGTTAAAAAATGTGTACAATGTCAAAAGCATGGAAACCTCATCCACGCTTCGGCTACCGAGTTGCACAGTATCAGCTCCCCGTGGTCGTTTGCTTTGTGGGGGATAGACGTGCTCGGTCCGTTCCCTATAGCAAAAGGCCAGGTTAAATTCCTTCTCGTCGCGGTAGATTACTTTACAAAGTGGATAGAAGCCGAGCCGCTCGCCTGCATCTCCGCAGCCAACGTTCAGAAGTTTGTTTGGAAAAATCTGGTTACCCGTTTCGGCATCCCGTATGCCATTGTGTCGGACAATGGTCTTCAATTCACTGATAAGAAGTTCAACATTTTCCTTGAAAACCTTGGCATTTGGCACCGATTCACATCAATGGAGCATCCTCAGTCAAACGGGCAGGCCGAAGCAGCCAACAAGGTTATACTCACTAAGCTCAAGAAGAGACTCGGTTCGGCAAAAGGAGCATGAGCCGAAGAGCTACCAGAAGTCCTTTGGGCATATCGATGCACCCCCCAATCAACCACCAAGGAGACGCCTTTTCGCCTAACATACGGCGCGGATGCGATGATCCCAGTTGAAGTAGGGGAACCGTCCTTCAGGCGACAACACTTCCATGAGGAGTCTAATGACGACTCACTCCAAGCCGAATTGGATGTTCTGGATGAAATACGAACGAACGCGCAGATAGTGGCCGAGGCATGTAAACAACGCATGACCCGACGCTTTAATTCCAAT